GCCATAGGGCCAAATTGACTATTGCGGCACAAAACTCCACCCCCTGTGCACGGATTCCGGTCCTGCCACGTACCAAAGGTGTTCCCATGCTGACCCCCTTACTCCTACCAAATATGAACGCTCTAGGTCCACGGGGACATGAGTTATGAATTTGCGGCCCAAAGTTACTAACGCGCACGCCGCGCTCCCTGTGAACGGAGTCCGGTCCTGCCACTTACCAAGGGTGGTCCCATCCTGCACCCCTTACTCCTACCAAATATGAACGCTCTAGGTCCAAGGAGACAAAAGCTATGAACTTCCGGTCAAACACACACACCGACATACACACAAACACACACACAAACACACCGACACACCAACAGACACACTTAGCGAATTATATAAAGTAGAATTTTTGCAGCATACAACGAGTCACTATCAGTTAATATAGAATACAAAACCATCGAATCATACCAAGTCAACCGGAACTATTGCGAGAAAAAGGGAATGGACCTGTCGGCGGGGAGCATAATGGGAGAATAGATGCCGTTCTCCGTGAGGCAACGAAGTGTTTCACTCAATCAGTCTCAGTAGGTCACGCATCTCCTCTTTTGCATCGATTTCCAGCTTGATGCGGTATATTCCTCGTGCTTCCATCGTTTTTCTTTTCAGTGCCCGTACCAAATATCTAAACAAAACCTTCACATCAAAGGATAAAGCGTTTTCTTTTCTTTCATTTCTCTAAGTGTACGGTACTTGTAAAATCCGCTGTGTGAGTAGGCAGCGAGATTGGCCACTGCTCTTCTATGTTCATCCAGACGGATCTCTAGTGGACTCGCGATCTCTCCCCACATCCCCCACAATGAATGAAATAGACGGTGCCCTGAAGTTCACAAATCACCTCAGAAGTGCAGTATCTGTGCGAAAGAGGAGATGCGTGACCTACTAAGACTGATTGAGTGATAACACTCAGTCGCCTCAGGACAAGAGCGGCGTCCATTTTCTTTTGAAGTTGCTCGCTGACAGGTCCATTCCCTTTTTCCCCCCAATATTTCCGACTGACTTGGTATGATTCGATGTTTTTGCATTGTAACTGAGAGTAGCTGATTATATTGTAAATAATTGAGGTCTGACGAAAGCGTTATGTATACGCTGGAAGCTCACCAATAAAAGTGAAGAGCAAAGCTTCGAAAAGGTGACAAATTGACAACAAGTATAAATGAAGCTCAGAGATAGCAGTATTGTGAATATTAAAACCCTACAGATCCGTTTTAATATTTCTCGGAAACTCTGCTATCTTACTACAGTATGTTGCCTTCTACCAGCACGCTGTATTTCATAGTGCTTCGCTTCAGTTCCTATACAAGTGAATGCGCGGGCGCATTTACCCCAGTTTTATCGCAAACAGATTCGTGCACTTCCCATAACAGAACAACCTCGATCTCCAGTCAAGAATTCTCAGCTTGGAAGTAGCTCTTCTTGACGCAGGTATAGCCGTCAAAAATCATTCTGCATCCGTGGAATTGTATTTGCTCGAAACCGGGTACGTTCGGAACTTTGTGTGAAAGCGTGGCAAACATTATCTTCGGGAAAAAGAGGATATGCTCCTATTTACAAGAAGATCAAAAACGCCACTCCGAAAGAAAGCTGAACATTGCCACGACAAATGCTGTCCCACCAACACGTCATGTAGTTATTGGGACAAGTGAAGTTGATGATGATATGGCCGCAGTGCTCAACCTAGGACCATCATTCGCGATGACACCGAGGGTCAACAACCGAGTAGTTGAAGCTGCGCTTTGTGGAGTGCATCAATGAGTCTATCAGTTACGCTGGAGAAGCTACCGTACTTGACCAGCAAGAGACTGTAATGTCACTGATGCCACTTAAAGGAAAGTATATGAGAATATCACCATCTTCACGTGAAAACGACACTAAAATTGCGAATTTCGAGCACGGAATCCAACGAGTTTATCGGAGCGCAATGAATGAGCCTTACGCTGTAATCTGACCCAACTGAATGCAGAGGGGTGAAGAAACTACTGCAAACGAAGGAGCTATTGAGGTACACCGTTGGAGCTAGTGCGGCTCTTTCGTAGTGATGCCACCGAAAGGCTCTCACCAACGAAGTGCGCTCAGACGACATCGTATACGAAAAAAGCACTTTGTCTGCATTTGATCAGTGTGCAAGAGAGTGAAGAAGGTGATGTCGATTGTGAAGAAATGAACAAGTCCTGACATGGCAAAACGGTTCCAACCGTGCCGACGCTCTACAACCTGGTGAAGATGCACAAAGATATTTGGTACAGCCACTGGAAAGGAAAAACATGGAGGCACGAGAAGTATACTGCATCGAGAAGGTAATCAATGCGAAAGAGGAGACGCTTGACCTACTAAGACTAATTAAGTGATAATACTTACCAATAGCCGCCTCAGGACAAGAGCAGCGTCCTTTTCCCCCTTAAGTTCCCCATCGACAGATCCGACAATCACTCCTTCTCTACTTCATCGACTATGCGAAGGCATTCGGCAATGTGGAGCTCAACTCTGTCTGGAACGCATTGCACCATGCAGGAGTCGACCGACCCATGTTACATCAACCTGCTGAAACAATGCAATACAGGCACATTTACCACCATCCGATTGTTCCAACAGGCAGGCAGTCTTAGAAGGGAGTCAGGCAGGGCGACACGATATCTCCTGAACTATCCACCACCGCACTGAACCACACGATGGTGCAACTAGACTGAATCGATAAAGGCATTAACATCGACAGCAAGAAGTTCTCCGATTTGCGCTTCGCAGACGATATCGTTCTCATCAGCTAAAACCGAGGGGAGCAGCAGCAGCTGGTGGAGGAGTTGAACAACGTCGGCAAAGACATCGGCCTCACGATGATCAGGAGCAAGTCAATGGTCATGCGAAACGAATGGGCGAATGTGTCATCCGTCACACTCAAAGGAGCCACGTGACCGTTTACCGAATCCTATGTGCACCTCGGCCGACTCATCTCCATGGACAACAACTTGCGTGCAGAGATTATGAGGCGCAGAAGATGCGCATGGGCGGCATTCGGAAACATAAAAGAAGCGGATCACCCCGCATCGGACAAGAAAGTAAGAGCTGGTCTCCTCGGTTCTACGGTATCGCACGCACTCTGTTATACACCTGAGACGCTGACGGAGAACAAGACTTCAACGCAGAGAATCCTCAACCTCAGCAGCGCAGATATGCGCTCAATTTCGGCACTCGCAATGCCGAAGTGTATGCGTGGAACGCAAAGAAGTGATAGGCAGGAGACGTGCTCAGACGCGCGACGACAGGTCGACCACTCGCGTTACATTTTGGTACCTATGTGAGGCTGAACACACACCTTAGCCGTCTTGCAACAAGATGAAGTGACTCACTGAAGAAACTTCAAGGAAATGTTGACCAACACTGATTCCAAAATCGTCAAAAATGGATGGGAGCGTGTATTCGCCGCTGAGTATGATCAGCCGACAGCGAGCGTTTAAGTATCCAAGTAAGGAAGCAAGTAAGTAGGTAAGTAAGAAATACTTGGTCATTTGAAAAGTTCCTGCTGTTATTGAACATTTCAGATTTACCAACTATTCTGCAAATATCAACAGCACAATCAAATGAAGATATATATCTTCTTGATGGGTGAGTCCTCTCTTATATTACTGTTCAAATTCTGTTAGCACTTCTTGAACTCTGTTAGGGAGCTCGTGTGAAAATAGACCCTTGCCGATTTTGTGCCTTCTTTGGAGCAGTTTAATTAGTTTTGAGCGGTCACTAGAACTCGGTTTTCTTCAGGTTTAATCCGATACCATCCTCTGTCAGGAGGTCCTGCCTACTATGCAGAGAGTCCATAAGCTCTTTCAATTGCTATTGGAGCGTTGTCGTTAATGGCAGAAATAGCCGAGTGTATAAGAGTGTAGGCTCACGTCTGCACTCAGACGAAATGTTAGCTCGTCCCCTGCCGAGGCAGCTCCATGGCTCGCGAAAATTGCAGAAATGGTATCGGTTCCAGAGTCGGACCGGGATGAGAGGTCGGCCGATGAAGAAACCTGCTCACAACAAACTTTTCTGAAGTCCCGAAAATATCAGTGAAAGCTAGCACGTCACTCGGAAAAGGCGCCCCCGCATGAGCGCTGTGGACAGTATACGAGGACTATCGAAGAGTGAGCGACCCGGTCACAGACGTTAGTCCAAATTCAGACTCTAACTTTCGAGTGGTNGCTGATCTTATGGATTTTATTAAGCGGAGGAACATCTAAGTCCCATGCCTTCAGAGAAAGTCCTAAGGCCAGAGAAATTGGTGAGGGTGTCAAACTATTCTGCAATGGAGAAGACACCAGACGAAATGGCTTGGCCATAGCAGTGGCAGTATATCTCAAAGACCGTGTCCGCCGTCAACAGGTTAGCAGTTAATTCATGGCTGAGAATGTAGACACGGAGGGCTACTGGACAATAATATCAGCGTACGCACCACAACTCGGCTGCCCCGTCTAAGGAAACGATGTTTAGTTTGAGACTCGACGAGGCTATACGATAAGTTCTGGAGTGGAGCTATCTCACCATAGGAGGATCTAAATGTGTACGGTGACAGTGAAAGGAGGGACTGGAAAGGGTGTATGGAGGTGGATGAGTGGGATCCAGAAGAGAAGAAGGAGAGAGGGCTCTTGACAAACAAAGAAGAAGAGGGTTTTTGGTCAAGGTACTGCTTGGGGAAGATCTAGCTCTACAGCACAGTCCTCTCCTAGCAAACATAGCAATCGATTTTCTCAGGACAAGAATGGAACGCAGGATCTGGTGATGGAAGCTGCACCGTTTCGAAAGAAAACACCTCAAAGAGTAGATGCTGGGAGCTGGACTCCCAGATCCCTAAAGGCGATCCGGTAGACCTGGAGAAAATCTGTAAAGGTCATCCTGCGATGTGCAGAGGAAACACGGGGTGGGGGAAGTCGAGGTAGTTTCCGAGAGGACAAAGAAGCATGGTTCCACAGCTCGTTGGAACGATGAAGCCCAACAAGTTGTAAGGCAGAAGAAAACGGAAAGAAAAGGACACGGGTCCCAGAGGCCCACAGTAGCGCTCAAAAGTCTCCGGTGAAATGGTTCCTCAGCCGTACTTTTCAGTCGTAACTCCTTTCCTACTGGATCATTTCTATATTTAGAGCGTGGGTGTATTGTGAATATTTACCACGATCATGTTCCAGACATTCCAAAGAATTCCAAAGAGCATGAACTCAAAATCGACTGGAAACACAGATGATGGTCCTTGGAGAATCTCTTTCCTTTTTGTCATGTCTAAAGTTTAGGGGCGATATTGCCGAATACAATAGATGAGAAAAACGCACATAGGGTGCGAATAAGTGCAGACCTCAACAACTTTACTTTTGGAAAAATCTGCTTCCGCAACAAACACCTTGCTCTCTCTGTGGTTATTGCAGCTTCGCAGTTAAATAGTGTTGGGCAGGGTGAAATATGCTCTAACTAAACATATCCAAATTTCGCGCGATTTGGTCTACTAAGAAGAAAATTTATGAACGAAAAGAGCATTCATTCAGCATTCAGAGCATTTCACCGAAGACTTTTGAGCGCTACTGTAACGCTACTGTACTACACAATGTCCAAGAAAGTCGGCAAGGCTGCTGTAGCGAAGGCAAAGCATAAGGAAATGAATGCTTTGTTTGAGATACTCGAGGAACGAGAAGGAGAGAAGTTCGTCCTAAGCCTGGCGAAAGCGCGTCACCGCAGCACTCAGGACATCATGGTAGTGAAGTCCTCTAGGAGCAGTGAGGATGCAATCCTGAAGAAGCCTGACGAGGTCATGCGTAGGTGGAAAGAATTCTTCAACAGGCTGCTTAACGAAGAGTTCGCCTGTAAGAAAAGCTACAAGTGTAGGCATGACCCCATCAAACTCTGGACAGAGGGTGAAGTGCCAGAGCAATAGGAAAGATGAAGGCTTGGAAGGCGCTTGTAAAGCACGGGATAAAGTGCCAGGCGATTCTGGTACACTGTGACGGCTAAAAGCAAAATCCCAGATGCGTGAAAGAACTGCCGTACTGTCGTCCCCATTTTTAAGCAGGAGAGGAACACGATGGTGTGTTCCAACTACCGGGAGATCTGGTTGACTGCTTACACGTGAAACTGTACGTGTGGCTGTTCGACACAAAATTGAGAGAATTGGTCCCAATCTTGCGAGAGCACTTCGGCATCATGCACGGAAGGTCTACAAATGATGCCATCTCCATAGCTAGGCAAGTTATGGGGAAGTATCGAGAAAAGCGTTGACCCTGCTACTTATTCTTCCTCGATCTGGACAAGGCATTTGACCGTCTCCTGCGATGAGTGCTCCAGAGAGGACTCGTCGCAGGCGCTTGGGCACTTGGTCAGTTGCACAGCACCAGCCGCGGATCAGAAGCTCCGAACTACTTTCAGGTCCTTGAAGACGACGAGTTGGTCAAAACGTCGGCCAGATAAACGGTCCCATCATAACAAACCTGTACGGCCAGGAATTGTGAAATATTATGTAAGGCCCTGGTTTCAAGAAGATCGAACGTGGAAATTGAGGTGGATAGAATGACAAGAACAGCGGACCAGGCGACGGCGCGGGACTAACGCTAGGGAGAAGAAGAAGATTTTAGCGTTGTCATTAGCTGGTAATGTTCATTCCTGATCCCTTTGTGATGAGAGACTTGCTGATGGAAGTGAATCTTCGTTTTGGTATAGTGTATACATGAGCCTCCCGTGTAAAATAGATCCTAAACCACCGAACACAACCGATCGCGGCAGTGGGCTGACACTCACACAGTCCTATATGGTAGTTCTCATTTCTGGGGTGAAGACGATCCAGGAAAAGTGAATCCTGAGCACCATCGTATAATTCGGATAAATACATGAATTTCGTTGAAGATCTCAATTCTCTCTTCGAGTTCACGCAGATTCCTTCATGAAGCTTCATCAATTAGACAGATCACATATCTTCTTATGCATAAAGCAGTAACTTGATGCTTTGCTTTGCTAAGCGATTTTTAGCTGGTCGGTCTGTCGGTGTATGTCTTTATCCGCAACTCTCCATAATTGTGTGAAAGGGGTCGTACCGAAAACCTACCGCGGTCTGAAGTAACATCTAGGAATAAGCCCAAATGTAGGTTGGTTTGGCGTTACTAATAGTACTGAAGCATGCTACATCAGAACGGATATGTATACTTCGCCACGTTAGTGCCGATCGATTGTGATCAATATGGGTTGTACACTGATTGCACAGCTATTCGTTCTATAGTGAGGTAACTCTCCAATTGGTAAGGGATACATGTAAATTGGGCTTTCGATGAATGACGATTCACATTTCACTTCAGAAGCTAGATTTTGCGTCCCGTGAGCGATACAGTAACCCCCTGTGAAGTACTCTGGAACAGCTGACAACTTGCTCAAAACAGTGTTTGCAATACCTGAACGACTTTATTTGCATTTTCGAACTATTGCGGAGCAGGTAGCACTACCGGAAGATGGTTAGTTTGAAACTCACTCCTTGATATCAGTGGCGACGGCAGCTTAGCCTTTAAGCACGACTCAACGATGAACGGATTGTAAAATTCGTTGGTATAGAGACGGGTGGTCATCACTCTGTGATGCCGCTAAAATAAAATGAACTCTACCCGAGTATCACCATACCATTTGGTTGTTTACTCGGAGCGGCATACCGGGGATCACTGATAGCGGTGGTCTTTAAACAGTTTTTTTTACCTCGGGCTTCTCTCTATCAGTGGCTTTACAATGCGCTCTTCTGCCGTTGTCTTTACAATATTCCCAACAGCAATGTACAGGTTTTATGAACCACGGAATCTGAACCAATATTCACAAAAAAATGTACAGGTTTTATGGACCACGGGCTTTCACCTGCACGCCTGTTGTACCATTGACCATCGGATTCCCCAGTGGGCGCCACCAACGTCTGCATTCGTCCAGGTTGCAGGCCATTGTGGTCCATTGGATCACCCTTGCTCTAGGGGCATGAGGCATAGCATGCCTTTCGTTCAGGGTTTTTGTGAGAGGTCTGACCAACGTGCTGGAGACCATCCTGGGTCTGTTCGGCGTTTCGAGAGAACCAGTAAGTAACCGCCTCAGTCCGACGGTAACAACTATTCACATAGTACCTCACAATGTCAAGTATTTGACCTCGAAGTCTTTCCCAGGCGGTTGAGGGCTTGCCTGATTTCAGCGCTTCGAAGCAGGATAAAAAGCCAAAGATAAGGTTTGATCTGATCGACGGGTGAATTTAATGCGAATGTTCCGGATTGTTGCGCCTGGTAACGAAGTAATTTTCCCAAAATACTTCTGTAGAGAGTTCCAAAACATGGAAAAACCTTCTGCGAATTTCTTGACAGGCTTTTTCCAGACGTTCCAATACCAGCCTCCTAACAGCCCATGAGCGAATGAAGGCAGAAGGTGAGACAAAAAAGACCTAAGACTTGTAGCGCCAATGGCGCCGACGCACTGACAAAGCGGATTTTGCCTACCCAGTTTTTCAGCTAGAAGCAATCCATGAGTTTCTGGTTTAAGGGCATTGTAACTGATGTGATGAAAAATAACGATTCAAACCTGGTTTGCAAATTATTCACTTTATTTATTTATACGGCTCGTCTTCATTCATGTACGAGCACCAGCAACAACCATTCGTTTCTGTCTTTCGCGATCGCCAACTACGGTAGACTCAGGATTCGACGAAGATGACGATGTGAGGAGTCGTTCAGCTGCGNGCAGCAGGCCTACCCTTGGATCTTGAACATCCTATGGGAGCTCTCTCAACTGTTCTTCTTGTCCATCGGTCATCTTCTCGTCTTATTATATGACCAGCCCACCGAGTCAAGGCATTCTCCGCATATCGGAGCTGCGGAGTTCGGCACGATATTGCGTGAGTCGGTTTAACCTCAAAAGACATCGCTCGAGCGCTCTGTGACTTGTGTTTAGAGCCCTAGACGTGGATGCACTGGTCACCCAAGTCTCACACCCATAACAGAGCGCAGGAAGAACTGTGGAATCGAACATGACCTCTGTCAGAGGTCCGAAGGCTGCCCATGTTGCTTTCTGCCGTCTCTGCCAGTTCTTCCCTCATGTCGTTGTCCATATCCATGGAACGCCCGAAATAAACGTATGACGAGGACTAATTGAAGGGTGTACCATCGATCTTAATTTGACCTTCGTCAAACCAAGCATTCTTCATGAACTGTGTCTTTGTTTGGTTGATACGCAGCCCTACCTTCTTTCCTGCTTTATTAAGCTCAGCAAGCATGGTCTCAGCTTCAGCAATGCTGCTTGAAAACAGAACGATGTCGTCCGCAAAGAGGAGATTTGTGAGGAACCATCCGCCTACACGAATGCCCTTTTCGCCCCAGTTCCAATTAATCTACACATCTACTGGCGTTCTCCGACGGTCTACAAGAAGACATCTACAAGAACTGGCGACCATCTACAACAACTGGCAACCAGATTAGCTGACCCGTACTTAAGTACGGTTCTAGGCGAAAGAATGTGGTTTCGAGCCAAACATCAGTAGAGGCGGAGCAATGAGGTGTGGGCAGGATGACTACCTCGTGAAAAACGGACGGGGTATGAGACGAATATTCAATTGACTCACCTCACCTGAAATTGTGTTATATTCAATTGACTCACCTCACCTGAAATTGTGTTGAGGAAAAGCGGAGGCTTCCCAACTATACAGTGCGTTTCATAATTATAATTTCACCCTCAAATTTTGCACTTTCAGAAAAAGCAATCATTAAGGATTTTTTCTAGCATCATGAATGGATTCCTCAGTACGAATAATCTAGGTTTCCGTTTTTTAGCCGCAGCTGCATTTTTCTGAACTTTTTTAGATCAGTTTATCGGTTTTTGCACCGTTTCATAATTATAAGGTCACCCTGAGAAAGTGAAGAATTATTAACGAAAGAGAGGAAATTTCGTGTTTGAAGATACTTATAAAGGTAAGC